GTTCTTAGTTAAGAACGAAACGTCACAGTAGTTGATTTCAATAAATCAATAAAAAAAAAATGTTAAATAGCTTAGTTTCATTAATGATTTCATAAGTCCAGAATGTAAACATAATCGTTACTGGAAAATAAAGCATTCCAGGATGAACATTACAATAGATGTCAACAGTTGTATTTGCTCGTAGATTTGACCCTAGAATTATGATTGTATGTCGTCGTATACGACTATCGTGATTTTGATTGTCGTCATATTTGACAGATCTGTCTCCTTAGTGAGAAAAGTGTGATATTATCTTTATTACTAGTTTTCTCCCTTGTCATGCTTGGATACAACAAAAATTATTTATTTCATAAAATAAAACATACTTATTATCAAAGTTTTTTTCTGAAATAAATCTAAGTAAAAAAATATTATTTTAATTTAAAATCTATGCTTATCATTGATCCTCTTGTTGAGTTAAACCCAAGTAAAAAATATCGTTTAATTTTATAAATCAATACTTATACTATTAGATCTACTATTGAGATTAGAAGCATTAGTTTGTCTTTATTGTTCTTTGTAATAAACAATACATATTAATAACATTTTTATCTTGTCAAAATAATGATATATTAAACAATAAAGAAATATTTTTTCTATCAACAATTAATTTTTTATTTACTCTAAAAAATAGCTCACAAAACAATGATAGCATTATAGATGCAAAAAAATTTTTTTGCTTATGTCCTTTCATGCACCATCCTCATTTTTTTAACACCATTACATATGGAAGTGTTGTTGATGATAAGAACGAACATTAATTAACATATTCTGTTGTTATAATAAATGTTTACCTATATTTACATACCATAGAAAATCTTTTTTATTCTTTAACTTATCTTTTCTTTTAACTAATAAAAGTTTGCTTTCTTTATTTCTATTTACTTTATAAATATCAATGTCTTTTTTATATTTTAATTTTATAAAATAAAGATAAACTAATATCTCTAACTGAGATCAATCTAAATCGCAAAAAAAAATATGTCTTATCTTTTTATTGACATTTACTGTTTGATTTTTAATAATCAATTGGAAAAGTAAAAGTCTTGATAGAGATGACATACTAACTCGCAGCTAACTTACGATCATATACAATCGTGTAAGATAGTCGTTTACATTCATTGTAAATGTGAAAAGAAACAGTAAACAATTAGAGTAACTGATGAATATTTTAGGGCTTTATTGAAAGAACTGATCAGACCGACTGTCCTTTTTATGACAACAGTGGCTTTTGCGCTCCTGGAAGGTGTTGTATTCCTATGATTGGTACTTATGACGACCGAATACCGCAGAGACCAGCGTTTCATTTCAAGGGATATGTGTTAACCAAGCAGCCAGTTGCTTATCGTGGAGCAATGCTATCGGAGACGGTGAAGCCATCTCAATAATTTCAACAGAACTTGATTCTGGCCGGATATCTATTTTTAATTGAACACTTGACTTCTTTTTTTTCTTTTACAATATTCATGCTAAAATATCTTTAATAAATAACATTTTTAGCTTCCAATAAAACTAATTGACCTCATTGTTAAACTTCTTTTCGAATAACAAATGTGTACAAATCGTTAATGATGATCGTAGTTTCATTAGTGTTTCCGTCGATTTTCACCGATTTCATTTGAATCTTTGTTGACGGGTATTTTCTGTAGAATTTTCTACAAAAGAGCAAGCATTTGTTATTAATAATTAAATTGACCTTATGAAAGCAGATGACGAATACTGAAAATCATTATCATCACAAGATATTGTCTAGAAGCTTTTTCATTTTCTTAATGGCCAAACGGACTAAAGCCGAAATGTTGACATACTTCAGTTCGTCGCTGTTAAAAAATAACTACACCTTCGGGTTTTGCCAATTCAGCAGTCCCAATGGTAGAATGGTCTTGTTTTTCACTCTTCAAAGCTGTTTGTTGTATTCATGACCAATGAAAATGAAATAATATTTGGCTTCCTGTCAAAACCTCGACCATTTATCAGGTCCCAAGACAACGAAAGACAGGATCACGTTGCCTTAGAATTCTATAGTAAACATAAGTTAACACGCAATTCTTGCAAACATGTATAGAGTATTGTTATTATCATAAGCTGAAAAATAGAGTTCGATTATTTATTTGTCGATGTTGAGCAAAAGCATTCCTCATCACTTATAGATGAGGTTGACGTTGCAAAGACTTAACGAGAAAGCTGTTCTATATACTAGTAAATGTCAGTTGATGATGTTACTTACTGTTTATTTGATGAAATACCAAATTTTGACTGCAATATATTTGTATTATTGATGCAGTTTTTTCGAAAGCTATCAACCTACAGCTCAGACAAATATAGTAAATACAAATGAATTCAATGTCAATTTATTCATTCAAGTAGATGGTAACATAATTGAAACATTATGAAAATATTAGCAAAAAGAAATAAAGCTAATAAAATGACATTAAAAAAAAAACTCTTCATTTTTGTATACACCAGTCATTAATCAATTTTTAAATATCTATTGTATCAAGAACATCACATTCAGTCGAACAAATAATGACATAGAACAATCCATCATTAGTGATAATGCTGCGTACGTAGTTCTTGATTAACTCTTCTATTTCGAGAAAGATCGTTCATCACTTGCTACAGTAATAGGTAATGTTAACATGAACTAATACACTAGAAAAATAAAAAGATATAATTTACAATTCTTTTTGCATGTAGCAGTTATATCATCTAAATCTGATTAATTTTATGAAGATGTTTAGCATTATTTTCATTGAAATTATTGATTGTTTTGGTAATAAATTTCTGAAGCAATACAAGATTTCATTTGATATTTCCAAGTATGATTCATATAGTCTACATAGAGGCGATTGCTAATTTTTCTATGAAAAATAAATCATCAATAAAATAAGAGAAACTTATTTTTCTCAGATGTATTTAATTTTGACATATCTCATCGTATGAATAAATGAATGTTTGTAATATTTTCATTGATTTTCAATGGTAAATGTCAAAATCGATTTAATCGTTGAAACTCAGCTTCAAAATCTACTTCTTATTGTTGTAATTCTTTTCTGGTGTCTTAAAAAAAACAAAACAAATACATTATCTATCTCAGCAAAACAAAAAACGGTTATAAGGACGCTAAACTGTGTTAAACTAACGTTAATCATAGTTTCTTTTTTTTTTATTGAATTTTGATTATACACTGTTAAAAAAATAGTGGCATTTTACTGCTACAGAATGAATCATGTTTAAATAAGAAATTTCTATTTCGATTTCGATTGTCTTAAATTGATCGAGCATTATTCATTACAATCTTTTTTCAAATATTATTTAAATATTTTCTACAATATATTTACCAAAAATACACCTGCCTAACTAAAACTGAAGTAAACAAATAGTTTGACAATAAAAACATTTTTCTGTAATTGTATAGGTAGAAGTTTGTATTGAATGTTCTTCGTTGAATACTTTTGGCAAGACAATGGTGTGTAGATGAAAATGTATATTTATATCTTTAGCCTGAAGATTTTGTAAAACAAGGTGTGTTAAGTGTATCTCATGTACTTTTTAAAGCATTTTAAAATCTATAGACATATAAATCGTGGTGAGTTTTTGAAGTAAACGATGATAGAATGGTGTGACATGTTCAAACTGCCACGCAGTGCATTCTTGCACGCATATTAGAGACTACGAAAAGTCAAAATACCAGCAGTTGATGATATGTTCCATTGTTCTATTTTTGCATAGCATGCATCATGAAGTTCTGACATTGTTCTCCTCTGTTCTAGCACATTTGATGTTCACAGTATTTTTTCTTTCGTAGAAAAAAGCTCGTCATTTTTCAGTAATAATTATCGAGAGTAAAGTGATTCTATTCCTTTACTTTTATAACTATTTAAGATAAGCAATTGAGAATTTTACGATTTCATCTATATCTCTGCATATTATTTTCTTTATTTCTTTCGTTTGCTCTTTCTTTCGCGATACATATCTAAACACATTTCAACGCATTCTACTTTCTGAGCCTTCTGTTTCACTGCTCTTCTTGAAGCCAAAGTAATCGAATAGAACAAAAAAGAACATTATTGTCTTTTTTTTATATGCTCGCTCATTCTCGTTTTCATATGTTCATTTGTATTTTATCCCAATTATTGAGCAGCTGAGGATATTCAGTGAGAAAAAGTACTTTTGATTGCAGGTGTGTGAAAGAAAAGAATACTCACATTCACATCCACAGCAATAGACATTCGACTTCTTTCCCAGAGTTCCTTGGCAATAAAAAAAGGAGCTGAATGGCATTAGCAAGAAGACTTAGACTGTTCTAGAACATTCCAAATTCTTCCTCAGAATTTGAATCATTGGAATACGTTTGCGAATGTTCTAAACAGCGTTATTTTTTATATTTGCACAGATAAAAATTTATATTTAAGATAATGCGAATGACCGGTAATAGTGTGTTGATTTGCTAAAGTCATCATATGCTCAACATATAGCTCTACGCACTGATCAGATAATAACTGTAGAAAATAATCAATGTCAGTGATTGTGAGCTTATCGAGATATAAAATAGTGCATTGAGACCGGCTGTATATATCATAGATATGTACAACAGAAATATTTGTTAGTTAGATCAACAGTTAGCATAATAATAAAGCTAAATTGAGAAATAGCTAAGCACAAAAACAGTAAAGATCGATTAAACTGAAGATCAACTATAGTTTACTAAGAATTTTTCACCGTATATATTGTCTCTTAGTACAAGGAGGCTAAAGAACACGTGAATTCCCCATTTCAGTCCATATGAAGCTGCGCTGAAAACATTATTAATCGAATTATTCTCTATCATGATTGTCTTGTAAAGAGTGCTTTATAACATTTATATATATATATACATATACATTTTTTATTCAAATTCATCGAAGAAAAGTTTGATCGAAATTCAAATTGTAAAAATAATGATTATTTAATAAGTTCAATTAAAATCGATAATTAATTTTAGATGAATTTGGTTCAATGTTCGATATTAAATATTTGTTGTGCTTGTCCTGGTGACTTCGATTCAATACACGTGGATTCGTTTCGAGAGCCATCAATTGATCAATTTTCATCATCCGGATAGAATCTTTTTTGTTCGAAGAATTTGAACGTAAAGATGATTTAGTAGACCTATTTGAATTATCTGATTTAACATTTTGACCACGACATTTTTTCCATAAATAAAAAATCGATCGTAATAATGGTAAAATGAAAAGATTAATAATAAGAAACATAAAAGCAAATAGTTCAATACATAAAGAAGTAAATAATAAAACCTTAAAAATTAATTCAGCTGTTCGAACAATAGGTTCTTCAATATTTTTAATAAAAAATGGACGTTCATCAAGCATTATTTGAATAACAGTTAATGAAGACATATAACGTAAATAATTTCCAAATTCAATATAGTATTCTTCATCCGATAGTGACCCATTAGTGAAAGTTGGTATCCATAAACCTGAATAATTAGTTTGATCTGATTCACTGAGTGCATGTGTCATATTGATGTTTTTAATAAGTACAATTGGAATATATGTTATTCTACCAATAGCTTTATTAGATGTTGAATAAAAGTGACAAAAATCTAGTTCTTGTAAGGTGCTATTCACACTTGATTGACCTTTTCCTCGAATACACAAACGAATAGCACCAATCCAATAAGGACCAGTCATATTAATTTGTACAGTTGTCTCATGTTTTGGCATAGAAAGTGTTACTGATGTTGTCGCTTCCGAAATTAATCGTGTGCAATTATTTGTTAATGAAACATATTTAGTACCACTAAGATTTTCTTGTGTAGTAATAGAATTACATAGAAATCCAGTATTAATTAATTCTACAGTTAAATAAAATATTTGTGCATCGAGAAGATCAAATATTGGTTGAGCTTCTTCTGACTTAGGAATATCAAGAAGTTCAAGACCACTAGAAAATTGTGCATTAACCAATGATTGATCACAAGTAAATGTAGCTGGTTCATTGATGTCTTCGATTGGATAACGTCGTATAAATGATATTGAAAACCAATAAGAAAACGAAACAAGAACAATAATAGCTAATGTTGCTAATCCACCAGCCCACATTTCACCTTCACCAATTATATCTGTATGTTTAAAAATATCTTTAGCTTTTTTTCTACATTTTATACATTGTTCGCATCCAAAGAATTTAATTACAATCATAAGCAGTAAAATAAAAAGACTGACACCACCGGCAATTAATGTCCAAAGAAGAGGAGAAATAACTAAACAACGTGAATCAGAACTAATTTGAAACATATTTTTTAGGAGAAGATCTTCCATATCTGTTGTATCACCTGTTTCAGGATAGGCAACTGTTTGACTATAGGAAGGTACTGTACTCAAGTCAATATCAACTAATGATGCAAGTGGACAAAATGAAGTTGAGGAATTTTTTGAACATGATATACATTGAAGGACTCCATTATCAAGTGTGCCAGAGTTTCTAGTACCTGAAGGACAAATTTGACATGGACCTACACTTGTACGATTTTTATATGTTCCACCGATACAAAGTTTTTGTATAAAATAAAATACGAATACACGTTCTGTAGTCTCATTCCATGTCGATGTATAACCAGCAGGAGTAAAAGGAATAATTAAAATATCAGCATTTTCTGTAAGTATAGCCATATTGCCTCCACTTGTAATACCAAATCGAGCAAAAGATGGACGTGACAAACGGGTACCCAATATTTGTTGATTATTAGGAAAAGTAAAGAGTGGAGTAGTCAATTTAACTGAATGTTCATCATAAAAGAATACTAGTGATTTTGACCAAGATGTTTCATCTGGCTTTAGAACTAATACAGCAACTGTTATATCATCTGCCCAATCTACGACACGACCAAATGAAGAAGCATCAGCATATGATAACGTATGTATATGAGTGACATTTAATGATGATCCAAGATTTTTAAGAATGACAAATGTTGAAAGTCTATGCACTCCAACAACAACTCTTTGACCACGAATAGCAACTGATAATTCATAAAGTTCATTGTATGAGATAACATTTGATGGTACTAAATATGTCGTTTCAGAAGTCAAAGATGTACAAGATGCATTTATTAGGACGGCAAGATTAATAATACATGCAACTGCAGCATAATTTTTTTTCACATCATCGAAATATCCATAACCACCAATTACTGCCCATGTATTAGCTACATCCACGGCATGTGGAATAAAGCCTGATGATGGCCAAACAGAGTCCATCGTAACGTTTACAATAATACTATTCGCATAAATATCTAATTTAAATGCAAATGAATTCGTAAAACCATAAGCAAAAGTGCCATTACTATCGACACCAATAAGAAAATATTCTTGAGAAAATCCTCCTGTACCCATGTCTGTACATTGAACTGTTGAGATACATGTTGATTTTATCATATGACCAATACAAACATATGGAGTCATTGTCGACATTTTTTCCGCAGCAAAAACAAATATAAAATGTTCATCATTAGTACTATTTTGAGCAATACCTGCTACAGCTACACTATGAACATAACGATCAGTTGTATTGTATCTCATATTACATCGAATAGCTCCTCCAGCACTAATATTTCTGANACCGTGTCGCTACGGTCGGTGTGTCGTAGCGGGGGGCGGCGCCCTACGTATTGGAGAGTCGCGAAAACTTGACCTTAAAACTTACACTCACTATTTTCTTCGAAAATATATGTGAGTTCCACAAAATCGTCATTGAATGTAGCCGAATAAGCTGAATTATAAATGGGGATTGATGAGTAACATGAGTAATAATGAAAAATTCTTACTAGAAATAAAACAGAAAAAAGACAACGAGAAACTGAATATACAAACAAACAAATAAGGCTAGAATAGTTTAGGTTTTTGTTACATTTGAAATTAATTAACTTCCACTGATGGTTATTGTTCAGTTGACGGTTGATTTTCTGATGGTGATGTTGGAGATGATTGATTTGAATGTTGTTGATTATTTGTTTGTTGAGATTACTGTGTTGAAGAATCTTCCTTATGTGATTCAACTTTTGGTTTTGGTTTATTTAAAATGGCCCAACATTCTTTTTCAAGTGTATCTCGTTGTTGTCTGATTTGTGAGCAAAGTATAGTTGGATCGTCATGTTTTTCAAGTGTAGTAAAATAATTATCTGCTTGACTATACCAAGTTTGTTTTATAGTTAAAATTTTATTGACTTTTTCAATATCACTTTGATCAATATGTAAATATTTATCACTTGATTTCGTATAGTAAGTTTGTATAGCTTCGTGAATTTGTTGTATTGATTTCATTAAATCTTTCATATGTTTTTTACGATTTTCAGCTTCATTATAACGATTACGAATCGATTCTGTAGCATCTTCTAAACTTTTTAAGAGTGCAGCATAAACACTTTTTTCTTGATTCATTCCTTCATCATATAACCATTTTATTTTATTTTCAAGATCATTTAATAAACTTTTTCGAATATTATCATTGACATATTTTTCTAAGTGACCACCATGGAGTTTTTCACGCATATCATTAACATATCCTTCAACTGCATTTTTAATATCTAAGCGTTCTTTTTCTTTCTTATCTTCTGCAATCATTGCACATTCTCGTTTAATTAATAGTTCAAGTTCTTCTTTACTTACACCAGATACTTGAGGTGTAATAGGTAAATCAATTTCTTTCTTTTTCTTTTTTGGTCCTGTTGTATTAGTCGATTGTGGTTTTGTTTGAATACCTTCTTCAGCTTTTTTCTTTTCTTCTGATTGAGCCTCGCCACTACCAGGAGTATTAGTGGTACCATCAGTAGGTTCGGCAGTATCGTCCATTCGTTCCTGTGTTGTTGATGGATTTTGATCAATACCATTTTGTGCACTTTCTGGAGCTTGTGTTGCTGCTGTTGTTTCCATAGCTTCTTCAAGATCAGTAGTTGGTGCATTTGATTCTTCAATAGTTTTAATAAGTGATGCTTGTGTAACATCAAATATTCCATTACGATTAAGACAAATTTTAACGTTAATTTTTGATAGTGTACCATCTGGTTGTGGTTGAATTTTTTCAATTGTATATTGACCAATACGTGATTCAGAAAATGGTATATCATTTGGATATGAATAACGAGCTTCAACTGTTAATGGTTCTTGTTTATAAAATGAAAGTATTTTTGTTGATGGTAGATCATTCCAACGACTAAATATTTCAATTTCACTATCTTCATTAACATCACCTTGCCATAATAATGTTATTGGATATGGTTGACAATCTTCTATTTTAAATTCTTTTACTTTAAATGTTGGACTTAACATAGCACACATTAAAGTACAGCCACGTGCAACACTTTCATCAGCATTCATAGTTGTCATAGGTGCTTTATGAAAAACATCTTGAACAATTTGTTTAACAGCTGGTATACGAGTGGAACCACCAACGATTTCAACAGATTCAAGTTCTTCAGGTGTTACTTTAGCTTGTTTAAGAAGATTTTCAAGTGTATTACGTATACGATCAAATAATGGTTTAGCTAATTTTTCGAATTCAGCTCGTGACATTTTTCCATTAACATTCATTCCATTAATAAAACATTCAAGTCCAATTGAAACTGGTTGAGCAGTATTTGACATTAGCTTTTTTGCTTTTTCACATTCAGCTTTTAATTGTAATTTAGCTTTAGTTGTACAATATGAATCAATTTTATAACGCTTTTGAAAATCATCACGCATTGTATCCATAATTAAACGATCAAAATCACGACCACCTAATGACGGATCAAAAGCTGTTGCAATCATTTTCAATTTACCTTTATTAAATGCAACAACAGATGCTTGTAATGCTGTATAACCCATATCAACAAATGCAATAAGACGAGGTTTTTCGTTTTGTTCAGGAAGATCTCCTTTATAGATACCATAACAAAGTGCAACAGCTGTTGTTTCATTAAGTAATCGAAGACAATTCCAACCAGCTATTTGCGCAGCATGAAGCATTGCTCGTCTTTCAGCATCAGTAAAAAAAGAAGGTACTCCAATAACACAATCGACAGTTTCCGTCTTTAATTCAGTATTAGCTATTTGTTTTAATTTTGTAAACATAATTCCAGCTATTTGTTCAGGTATAAACCGTTGACGTTCATTAAGATAATCAACTTCAATATTCACTGCACCACGAGTTCCTTCAACAATTGAATATGGATTAAATTGTCTTTCTTGTTGCACATATGAATCTTGACATCGTCGACAGAATAATCGTTTAAAATTGTAAATTGTATTGTTTGCATGTGTAATTTCCATTTCTTTTGATGATTGACCAATCGAGCGAGTCGATTTATGAAATGTCACATAGGTTGGTGTAAGACGATCCGAATATTCATTTGCTATTATTTCAACACCACCAGCGCGAGCGACAGCGATGCATGATGAAAAATTACCCATATCAAGACCAACAACAGCCATGTTAATTATATCAATATGAAAGTATATGGAATAAGACGAGAAGAAAATAGTAGCGTTACTCAAATCTAGAATTAATTGAAAGTTAAAATGTGAAATAATAGTGTTGTGACCATCTAAACCACATGAATAATAGTCTGCTCAAATTTATTTTTATAATGTGCTTTGTTGTGAAATCAGTTCTTTATATATAGGTGGATGCGACAAAAATACCCATGATGATAAACAAGACATAAAAACATAGCAACAAAAGTGACGAGAGGGAAAGAAAAGAAAAGTAAAAGTGTTGTGAAAGACAGATACACGGGCATAGGATGTGTGTGTAGGGCGTGTGTATGGTGGGTAGACCCATCTTCGAGTAGAGAAAAAGAATATTTTTACACCTGCACTTCTCTTGAACAACAGGAAAGTAGGTTAAAAATTTCCTTTGAACGTCTNACTTAGTTTTTAACGCTGATTCCGAATCTGATATTAGTTTTGAACCAAATCGTAGCTTTCTAACAAAAAATCCCCCGAAAAAGGTCTCAAAATGCAGAAAAACTACATGAAGAAAGCAAATAGTCTAGATATGTCTCAGATGATAAAAAACAAAGTGAATATACCTTTTCACTTTTTGAAGTACACATAACACTCGGATTTAAATTCGATGTTTTCGCATTTATTTTTTTTCAATATAAAGTTGTATATTTTTGTTTCGGTTAAACTAATCAATCATGGCTTTTCTACTGAATTATCTAGTAGAAATCAGTTTTAGTTCAACAAAGCTTTTTATACTACATTTTTGTTATTAATATAAGTACTAATTTGAATCTTCGGATCGAATTATGAGGATTTCGAATGGTTGTAGATATAGTTTCAAATAACATCCAATTTAATACGAAATAGTGTCCTGGACGGGTATGATTTTTCGCATTTGGTTCCCTATTGGATCCGAATTGGAGCTAATCAGTATCCAGTAAATACTTTCAAAGTCATAATACAGTTTACTAAACCTTTAGTTTATATGAAAAAATATACTATTTAGTTTCTTCTTTAAACAACAACAACAAAAAGAAGAGATCATCTCAAATTTCATAAAATAGCCAATGAATTAGGATTTACTTTATGTCTTTCTACTATTATGTTGATACCAAACGTCATTATTATGAATACATACATGAATGATTTCTTCATCATTCTAATACATGTTTACTTTTGTGATAAATTATTTTTCTCTCCATATATTTGATCAATATGAACTATTTCAAATAGATAATCAAACATGCTGTTTTTTGTTTTTTGCTCATTTGATATTCACAATTAATTTTGTCGATAATAATATAATTAATATCTCAAAAGGTATAATCAAAATAAATACTATTACTATTAATTCTTTATTGTTCTTTGGAATATTTTATTAATTTTTTATCTTATATAGTGTTTTAAAGAAAAATAGTATTATAACTTTGTACAAATGAATTCATGGCAAATGCCGGAGATGCTTCATTTATTTCTTTACTTCCGATAGTCGGATAAGAACCATTTAGTAGAATATAAACTCACTTCTACGTTCCATTGAATCTTTAGAATCACTGAATGGTCCTTTCGCAACAATGCTTTCAATTCTGAAGTGATATAGCTGAACCTCTAGCTCATAACCCTAACCTATTTTAATAGTAGCATTTTTCGATGAGGTTTTCCTGACTAATAATAACCCGAAGAGTAAAGATTTTTATCTCATTAAATAATCTAAAGGTCAAAATAAATGTAACTCTATTTATCAAAAAAATACACTTTTTATTCTTTTTTTTTATCGAATATTCGTCTGGATGTTCATAGTGTACTCAGTTGAGTTCATCATAATAAATCAAATTTCCAAGTCTCAAAATTTCATATTAATAACTAATCATGAATAATAGATTGTCTTGTATTAACTTATCTATCAACATGTATCAAGTTTACTATTGAACAAACGTGATTGATATTCTTATGTGTCAACAGTATCATCTATCATGATGAGAAAAAAAAAAGGATTACATTGTTTAATCTTTTCGTTTACTTCTTTTCTTTCTTCTTCTTCCTAATTTTATTTATTCAGAAAAACAAATCAACAAGATCTTTTGTTTTTTTTTTTTTTTTTTCGTCAACTAATTAACCTATAAACTTTAAACTAAAGTTTTACATATTTGAACTTCGAGAGAAAAAATAAAATAAAATCAAAGCTTTATAAGCAAGAATTATTAAACGAAATAAATAATAATTTCTGGTGTTTCTTTTATTTTCTTGATTGACTTTATCATTGTTATGTTTATTTTTCTAAGTGATTTTTGTTTTTTACTCTCTTATGAGAATGAACTGAAAAGAGAAGAACGTGCTCACATAGCATCTGAATATAGACCGGATATGACAAAGAATGTATGGCAAAAGAAAATAAGAAAAAAAAAAAATCATCATTGAATGTAGCCGAATAAACTTGGACATAAATAGGGATCGATGGATAACTTGAGTAATAACGAGTAACTTTTAACAGACATAAAACGAAAAAAAGAAAAGAAGACAATGAGAAACAGAATATGCAAACACACAAATGAGGGTAGAATAGTCTTGGTTTTCATTAGATTTGAAATTAATCAACTTCCATTGATGGTTGTTGTTCAGTTGATTGTTGATTTCCTGATGATGATGTTGATGGGGGTGGATTTGGAGCTTGTTGTTCTTGTTGATTATTTGTTTGTGGAGCTTGTTGTTTTGAAGGATCTTCCTTAGGTGGTTCAACTTTTGGTTTTGGTTTATTCAAAATGGCCCAACATTCTCGTTCAAGTGTCTAAAATAAAAATAAAAAATTTTAAAATAGTTTTATGTATAAAAATAAAATCAGAATCATGTTCGGAGCAATAATCAACGCCAGTACGAAGTAAGAAACTGCACATAGTGTTGGGACTAAATGTTCAGTATTACAAGTAGAGTCGAGAATACATGCAAAACCGTTGACATAAAGCCAGGAGAATGCCCAAAACAAGACACTGGATCAATATCAAGTTCGGAGCTGCGAACAAGGCTGGAAATAAACGAATGAGCGGAAAATAATGTCCGAACTTTAGATATAAAAGCTGTTAGCATAATTTCTGTAGGATTAAAATAGCTGTGGCTGCTAACTCTACTAATACATCTAGCATGATCTGTAATGAATCACTTCTAACGTGTCTGTGACGGGAAGAAGACGAAGTCGAATGGCGTCTGACTGTTAGATATTTTTCCTTGTTGTGTCTCAATGTTAACTATGTGTCAGTGACTCAATCTCAGTATTTACTTCAACGCTACATAATTCCTAAGTTTGAATTTTAAGGCAATAGCTAAAATGTAGCTGAAAACTACGAATAGTATTGTAATAATGTTTAAGTCCTCTTAAGTTTAACAGTTTTTTATTTGTTATCTATAGAAATGACTTACATCTCGGTTTTGTTTGATTTGTGAGCAAAGTATAGTTGGATTTTCGTGTTTTTTAAGTGCAGCAAATTGATTAGCTGTTTGATCATACCAAGATTGTTTTTCAGTTAAAATTTTATTAGCTTTTTCAATGTCACTTTGATCAATATGTGAATATTTATCACTTGATTTCGTATAATAAGTTTGTATAGCTTCATCAATTCGTTGTATTGATTTCATTAAATCTTGCATATAATTTTGACGATTTTCGGCTTCATTATAACGATTACGAATTGGTTCACCAACATCCTAATATAATAAAGAATAAAAAAGAAATATGAATTTCATAAATATTTTTTAAAATTACTTTTAAACTTTTCAAGCGTTCAACATAAACACTTTTTTCTTGATCCATTCCTTCATCATATAACCAATCTTCTGCTTTTTGAAGATTTTCTAATAATTTTTGTCGAATATTATCATCAGCATATTTTTCTAATTGACCACCATCGAGTTTTCCACGCATATCATAAACATATTCTTCAACAGCATTTTTAGAATCGGAACGTTCTTTTTCTTTTTTATCTTGTGAAATCATTTCATGCTGAAAAAAAAAAAGCAAGAATAATTTAATCAAAAAAAAAAAAGAAATATTTTACTTCATGTTCAATTAATCGTTCAAGTTCTTTTTTATTTGCACCAGGTACTCGAGGTGTAATTGGTAAATCAATTTCTTTCTTTTTCTTTTTTGGTACTGCTGGTGTTGTATTAGCTGATTGTGATTTTATTTCAGTACCATCTTCAGCTTTTTCCTTAAAAAAATAAAAATAATATATTTTATTTTGATCAACAAACAAAAAATAAAAATAAAAACCTTTTCTCCTGTTTGAGCATCACCACTAGCAGGTGTAGTAGGACCATTAGCAGGTTCAACAGGCTTTATTTAAAAAATAAATAAGTATAATTCTAAGAAAAAAAAAAATGAAAACAACTTACTTCATCCATTGGTTCTTGTGTTGTTGGTGGATTTTGATCAAGACCATTTTGTGCACCTTCTGGAGCTGGTGTTGCTTCCATAGCTTCTTCTATAAAATAAATAAATGTAATAAATTTAAATTGTTCGAATTTAAAAATTAGATACAAAGCTTTCCAAAAAAATGCATAATGTATATTCTATCTATAGAAAAGGATCTATATCTTGAAAGTCACATATCTCAAAGAGATTTTGTTCAAAAAAAAGTTTTTTTTATACTTTCACGTCTCTATTTAGATTGTATTTCACAATACAATAGGACTTCATTGTTTAGAATTCATAAAAAATAAAATTTTTATATTACCAGGACCTGTTGGTGCATTTGGTTCTTCAATTGTTTCAATAAGTGATGCTTGTGTAACATCAAATATTCCATTACGATTAAGACGAACTTTAACTTTAATTTTCGATGGTGTACCATCGGGTTGTGGTTGAATTTGTTCAATTGTATATTGACCAATACGTGATTCTGAAAATGGTATATCATTCGGATATGAATAACGAGCTTCAACTGTTAATGGTTCTCGTTTATAAAATGAAAGCATTTTTGTTGATGGTATTGGATTCCAACGACTAAATACTTCAACTTCATTATCTTCATTAACACCACCTTGCCATGATAATGTTATTGGATATGGTTGACAATCCTCAATTTTAAATTCTTTTACTTTAAATGTTGGACTTAATATAGCACACATTAAAGTACAACCACGTGCAACACTTTCATCAGCATTCATTGTTGTCATAGGTGCTTTATGAAAAACATCTTGAACAAGTTGTTTAACAGCTGGTATACGAGTTGAACCACCAACAATTTCAACAGATTCAAGTTCTTCAGGTGTTACTTCTAGAAAAATTAAAGATAAATGATATTATTAATAATCTTTTACATAAACTATGTCTATACTATCAACTGATCTCTCTCTGATTTGATGACATATTAGTTTCGATGATATCGGGTATTCGTTCAAGTATTTCTGAACATTGTTGAAATTTTTTGTAGTCTTACGAGGGAACGTTCCCCATTAGGTAGGGGACCACTAGATTAGAGAAACCTCGAAAGGATTCGTGCCCATATTGAGATTTGACAGAGATATTGAATTTTTAGTGGATTTTTCCTCCTGGACCCTAGTTCTACAGCAAAATCATGTTTTCGAATTTCGACCTGAAACTTTGCCCAAATGAAGGCCTCAATCAGAGTAGCTTGTATAAAAAATTTCAGAATTTTTGGACATTGCATCTTCAAGGTATCAATCTTTCAAAGTATCCATGTTATCTATAGAAAAGTACCTATATTTTCAAAAATTGATACCTTGGAGATGCAATGTCCAAAAATTCTGAAATTTTTTTATACAAGCTACTCTGATCGAGACCTTCATTTGGGCAAAGTTTCAGGTCGAAATTCGAAAACATGATTTTGCTGTAGAACTAGGGCCCAGGAGGAAAAATCCACTAAAAATTCGATATCTCTGTCAAATCTCAATATGGGCACGAATCCTTTGGAGGTTTCTCTAATCTAGTGGTCCTCTACCTAATGGGCAACATATGAGCTCAAAAGCTTTTAATCACTTGGGAACGTTCCCTCGTTAGATTATTTATTCCAGTGTGTGTAGATCTATCATAGCCGAGCTCGAAATCCTTTCCTTTGACTAAATTCTACTTTAACTTATCGACAAAGGTAAAAAGCAGACTAGTGTCCTACAATCCGGTTTAGACGTCAAGTATGATCTCATGACCGAATCCAACTTGACATTTCAAACTGCTAATTTATATAAAAGCACAGAAGTGAAAGTCGGTATTATTCTACTAAAAGAATTTGTTTTCAATGAAAAAAGTAGTTTGCCAATTCGAGTCCGAAATTAATTCGTTATATTCACGGTACTAACTCAGTTGTAGTATCTACTATTAAAATCTATATAATTTAAAAACACGAGCCTTCTGATTATGTATAAAACTCTACTATGATTTACTTTCTACAAAATAATAAACACAGATGATGGTAATGTTTATATATATATTTCTCATGAAAGTGAATTATTTTTAACTTACTAGCTTCTTTAAGAAGATTTTCAAGTGTAATTCGTATACGATCAAGTATTGGTTTAGCTAATTCTTCGAAATCAGCTCGTGACATTTTTCCATTAACATCAATTTCATTAATAAAACATTCAAGTCCAATTGGAATTGGTTGAACATTACTTGCCATTAATTTTTTTGCTTTTTCACATTCAGCTCTTAATCGTAATTTAGCTTTACCTGTACTATATGCATCAACTTTATAACGTTTTTGATAATCATCACGCATTGCATCTGTAATTAAACGATCAAAATCTCGACCACCTAATGATGGATCACAAGCTGTTGCAACCATCTTTAGAAAAAAACAAAAAAGAAATATTGTTTTCTAATATTTAACAATAAGAAAAACAAAAAATATATTACTTTCAATTTGCCTTTATTAAATGCAACAACAGATGCTTGTAATGATGTATAACCGACATCAACAAATGCAACAAGACGAGGCTTTTCATTTTGTTCAGGTAGATCTGCTTTATAGATACCATAACAAAGTGCAACTAAATTAAAGAAATAATATGATTTAATGAAAGTATGATTAATAAGAGAGATCTAATACCATTTACTCACTATTTATTTGAAATAGATCTCCTCTGATCGAGAAAAATCAAACTCAAAAATTTCTAAAAACTGTTATAGTGCCATGCTTATATATATTATAACGAAACGTTAACAACGTCTTTGATGATAGCGTTACTAAGGTACCTGTCATAGGCTGTGACGCAAGAGATGGGAAGCATTACAAAGGATGTCTGTTATATGTACGATGACTCGTTGCTAAGATGTTTGTCATAACTATTGTGGGAAAGACAAATTTCTACTTCTATACTTCAACACTTCTTTTAGATCATATTTCACAAAATCGTTATTTTCCAAAAAAAAATCAAATTGAAATAATATGACTTTTACTCATAGTTATCATCTTTTAGTAAAATTTCATGTTCATATACTGTATTTATCTCATTATCAAAAAAAACTTACCAGCTGTTGTTTCATTAAGTAATCGAAGACAATTCCAACCAGCTATTTGTGCAGCATCAAGCATTGCTCGTCTTTCCGTATCCGTAAAAAAACAAGGTACCTTTAAAAAGAAATTTTTTTGTTTTCAAATGAAACTTTACTATTAAAATTCTTACGCCAATAACACAATCAACAGCTTTTGTCTTTAATTCAGTATCAGCTATTTGTTTTAATTTTGTAAACATAATTGCAGTTATTTGTTCAGGTGTCAATCGCTTACGTTCATTAAGATAATCAACCTAAAACCAAAAAAAAAAAATATTTTATTTAATTATTTTCTTACAAATCAAATGAATATATTTTTATACTTCAATATTTACTGAACCACCAGGTCCTTCAACAATTGCATATGCATTAAATTCTTTTTCTTGTTGTACATACGAATCTTGATATTTTCGACCTAATAATCGTTTAAAATTGCAAATTGTATTTTTTGCATGTGTAACTTCCATTGCTTTTGATGATTGACCCATTGAACGAGTCGATTTATTAAATGTTATAGACGTTCTAAAGAAAAATTTTGTTTTTGTACATATAAAGAAAACATTGAAAAAAAGATTTCTTTTTCAAACTTACGGTGTAAGACGATCCGAATATTCATTTGCTATTATTTCAACACCACCGGCGCGAGCAACACCGATGTATGATGAAAAATTACCCATATCAAGACCAACAACAGCCTAAAAGTTCAATAGGTTCAAATATTTAAGGACATTTAAAAGAAATATATATATTACCATGTTCATATGAAAGTATATGGAATGAGAGAAGAAAATAGTAGCGCAAGTTGAATCTAAAATTAATTAAAAGTTGAAAGATCACGAATATGAAAAAAAATTGATGATTTATAAAGAACCTATGGACCAACTAGCGGCACATTCGGAAGAAGAAAAAAAAATGAGAAATATAGAGAATGGGGAGTAAAGAAGAACTTTCTCGACCATTCGAGAACAACCTAGTATATTTGTTCTGTAGATAATGGTATTATCTGGATCATAATGAAGCATATTTAGGAATTTTTGCGGGAAGAGTGTGACCTCTAGAGGAAAGAATTTTTTGTCAAGATAAATAAAAATACGAAAGAACAAAATATCATTGATAAGTTCTTCCGCGTAGTATGAAATAATCAAATTCATTCTGTTATACATATTGAATGAGTACAAACAGGGTTTAGACTAATTGCTGATTAATATTTTTTGTATTTTTACAAAAATTAACCATTAAGATGTCGTTATATGATGATCATTTATAAGAAGTTTCTTCTGTATAGTAAAGCTATTTTTTGTATATGAATAATTTTTAAATACAAAAACTTCTGGAACTTAACAGTGGCGGATCCAGGATTTTTGTTTATACTGCATCTCAACGTCAGAGCATGGGACCAAGATGAAACTTATGAAGGATGATATTGGACCAAAGTCATAAATTTTTAGCAAAAAAATTTTGTGATCGGTGTTTGCGAAAAAAAAGTTTTTTTTACCGCCATCCCCCTCAATTTTTTTGAAATTTTAGTAGTATCCAGTTTTTTTAATTTAATCGCAATCTACATCGAATTTCATCGACAGATTTCAAATTTCATCCAAAAATATGCATCCATTCAGGAGTTATAACGCTTCGGAATTTTGCGAAATGTCGCAAAAATTGTGACAAAAATTCAAAACGTTGTAACTCTTGAATGGATACATATTTTTGGATGAAATTCGATGTAGATTGCGATTAAATTAAAAAAACTGGATACTACTAAAATTTCAAAAAAATTGAGGGGAGTGGCGGTAAAAAAAAGATTTTTTTTTCGCATACACCGGTCACAAAAAGTTTTTTGGTAAAAATTTATGACTTGGGCCCAATATCATCCTCCATAAGTTTCATCTTGGTCCCATGCTCTGACGCTGAGATCCAGCATAAACAAAATCGTGGATCCGCCACTGAAACTTAACAAGATATTAGAGATAGACTTCCAAGGATTTTCCTTTACTCTTTAGCGCCGGGATCCGTTTGTATACGTCTTGAGTTTGCATCCGTTATTATACATTTCGTCTATATATGTTCAGGCAGTTAGAAAACCGTCTGGTAAACTAGGATACATATTCTCTAATGTTGTAAACTATTTTGAAGAATATCATACTCTAAAACATTTTAAATGCTTCTCAATGATAATAAAGTCTCTTTTCGATAAATTGTATCATACTGAAATATGAAACAAAAAATTTCCATATCTTTACATTTAATCTATATAACGAGTAATGCGAAAGTTCTTACACAAATATCGATTCTTTTCAGCAAGAAGCAACAGACCACATTTTAGTACTGTTTAGAGACGTTCTCTCTACTGAAACACAAGACATGATAGAACCTTTCTGAACATACAGTTAGAAAGAGCTTGTGATGTAGATTCTGTACAAGTATTGTTAAATTTGCCCAGACATGTTTTAGCCGATAAAAAATGAATCAATATTTGTGCAGGAACTTTTTCATCATTTGTTATCATAAAGTATTCAAAGAAAGATAAAAATGTAGAACATTCGAAGCTCTATCGAACTACAATATGGTGCAATTTTTTTCGTGCAATGAAATATGAAAAACCGGTAATCCTTTTTAGGATCATACTAAACAAATGTATTTCATTTGGTTTTACCAGCAGCCCAAATTCTATTAAGTTTGAACAACTTTTTGAAAAATAGTTGTTCTTAACTTTGATAAAAATATTTCACAAGTTGTTTCTTCTTTGAAATCAATGATGATCACAACAACAAACTGATGTTGTATGAGTTATATAATGGGGTTAGTTTTTTTAAATTTCTTTCGTTTCTTATTTTCTTATATAGACCAAAAACGCATGCAAATGCAGACACCTGTTTCAAGGAGAACCATAAAATGACGTGTTAAGTCAACATATAAAAGAGCTAGATAAATCTTAATGTTCTTTATCATCAATTATAGCAGTATTTTTTTTTCTCTTGTTTGTTTGAATCTTTACCCAAGAATTTCGTAGTAAATAATGGTTGTATTAAGGACTTTTATGTAGTAATTGATATGAATATATATTTTTTGATTTTATTTGATAACATATGAAAGTAACAAGACTTACGAAAAACAATAAGTCAATTAAAGTAGAAAGGCTAGATTTGTTTTAATGGCCCTTTTCTTTTGATGAGATTTCAGTACTATATTAATGACATCTAGAATAGTTTCATTCTTCTTTATCTTAGGAAAAAGAATAAATACATCATTTAGTTAAATATATAAGTTCATGTTAAGTTTTATGAAACTTCTCTTGATGAAAATCGAATCAGAAACCGTCATAGAACTGTTTTCTTCATTCTGATCTACATTCGACAAGACATTATCATACAGTCATTCTGTTTTTTCAGGACACAGGGCAAAGCATCAAAAAGTTCATCTTGACAGGACATATCTTGTAGGACGACCTTTTCATTGTATTTTCGACAAGGATAAAAATTTATTTATATAGAGGATACGATGTTAAATATACTAGATGTATTGTTTATACAAAAAAATCAGTATAAACAGATAGACAAGGAGAAAAGATAAGTTTTGTTTTTATTGATTCTTCTTGATTTTCTCATATGAACCAATAAATAAGATGTTATCAATTTGGTTTAGTGATAAACGTCTTTGTCTTTGAGTAAATATAAATCGAGTTGAGCTAAATAATCTTTACAACCAAACACTAGTCGCTGGTATAGCCTGTAATCTTCTGGCTATACTACTGATAATAATAAAAAATAACGACGAAAGTCACTATAAGACGAGAAATTCATTGAATCATGGTTATTTAGGAGACTTGCGCGACCTGTAACATTCTCTGAGTCGAAAAATGATATATAGACAGTCACAAATTAAGAATGTATGATATCTGCCATCCTTATTAGGTTTTATTCAAAATGCTTATTTTTTTCTAAGGGACTCATTGAAAATCGTCAGATTTTATCTATAACTTAGTCTTAAAGGACGATAGATATCATATGAACTTCATTGGTTTATACTCTATTATTTGTTTTGTTATATTCTTTCTATTTTCTCACTTCGTTCGTTTTAATATACCAAAGTTAGACTTGGATAATGACGTTTTTTTTCTCATATTGTTATTATTAGTAAAATATCACGTGGAAGATCTTTACTACTTCAAGAATAAGACATTTGTTTGGAATAGATTGTTGTTTAATCAGAAAATTTTAGTACTCAAATACAAGAAACACAAAAAGTAACAAGTCATCAATTCAATAAACATTCACAGGATGTGGAGAGAAGACCTACACCCACACCCTCAAACAACATGTACATTTGCTTCTAGGTGTCAACGCTGTATTTCAAAGTTGAGTATGGATCATGAGGAAGAGAACCGAAAAAAAAAACTACTGAATGGTGATCCATCGTGTAAGAAATGATTGTAGCTGAAGACATGATTATAAAAAGGAATTGTTTAATTGTAGTTTATTTATCTTTTGCAACTATAATAACAGTATTCAAGGCATCAAAACCATAAGTGCGTATGTCTCTATATCGCCAACAAGTGATTTCTCAGTTTTGCATTGATTCAATTTCTAACAGAATCATCTAGTTTTAAAAGTAGTCCTTATCCAATCCGCAAGCCTCACCTTAATTAACAGCTAGGTTTGATGAGTACTTCTTTACTTGAGTGGAAAGATAACCTACGTGAGACAAATGCATATGAATCATGCTTCAGTTTCATCACATGACAGCTATTTGTTTTCAGGTATTGAAAATTATGAACTATAATCTTCAACTTCATTGAACAGGATACTGGCAATCTTTGAATAAATATGACTTTGGATGGGCTTGAGTAAAGAGAAGACTTCATCGACATATACACTCATACCTTCAGAAGAATGCTCTTCTAATGAAATAGCATTGAATTAAGAACAATTATCTATGAAAATTTGAATAGATAACGTATTTCGGGATTTTTGTGTTGAATACTCCACTTATATCTATTAAATCATATTTGAATATAAGTCGAATTAGTAATTAACATTCATCGAATTTTGAAGATACAATTCCCAGATGTGCTATTCACCCGACAGATAAGCTAATGTAAGCTCTATTTGGAATCATGTTGATGCCAAAATAAAATGCTTCCATGTCTGATAGATTTCGAGTAGTGAGCCATTCCTTGACACTTTCTGTAACATCCATTTATTTTGTTGTACTGCAGTCAATTATATGATCGCCAGAAGTTTATTGGATGTGAAAGGTTTGCACGAAGTTCTTTTTTTTTTACTTCTATCCCATGTCGCTCATTTTTTATGAATCCCGGCGGGATCTCGCGGGATTAACTTTTCTCGGCGGGATCTCGCGGGATTAACTTTTCCCGGCAGGATCTCG